AGAGAGAGAGAGAGAGAGAGAGAGAGAGAAAGAGACAGACAGAGAGACAGAGAGAGGAGAGTGCGTGTAATTCTCGTTACACTTGTAAATACACATCGATTCGAAAAACTGTAAAGAACGTTTCGGTTGTGCGAAGGGACGCGGTAAAAGATTTCCGAAATCGCGTCGACGAATTCGCCGCGCGGACGATTACGTGTGTGAGATACCAGCGTGTCGCTCACTCAACGCTGAATGTAAAACGTCGGTAAAAAAATGACAATCAATATCGTCGCGAGATATTTCCTAACGATTTTCCAAAAGATGACCGATAAAAGTTGCCTTCGCAGTCTGATGCATAGCGATGTATTCGCTCTCCTTCCGTCGCACGGCGGTAATTATACAGCCCGTGCGCGCTCGAGTCGACGTTCTCACGAGCTCTTAACCGTTTAACGAGTATAACAGCTACTTATTATCGTTTTATTTAATCGACGATTTCGTATGTACACAAGTCTCGAAATGCGAATGAAAAGAACTTTCTCCCTTCGTGCAGTGCACGAATAACCGCGCGCGCCACTTAACTAAGCGTGCCGGAAAGGAGCGTTCCTCCTTCCGCGTTCTCTCGCTTTCTCGTCCTCGTATTGGCAGTAGTATTCCTCGCGCTCCTAGGAGCAGCTTACGAGTAGTAGTTCTCTCTTTGCTGATAAAGCGGCAAGGGAGCCACGGGCGAGAGGTCCTCGTCGTCTAAGCTCGACTCGGTTTTCAGAGGTAGCGTTGCCAGAGCTTTCACTGTCGGCGAAGCAGATGTTGATGAGACAATTGTGCGTGATGAATCGGACACGTTTGCTGGGAACGAGGCGCAGTTGTCACCGTGAATTAATGCTTCAATTTTTTCCCTCCTTCGATCGTTCGTGTAGGGAATTATTGGAAAGTCGCAACTCTCGCCTCGTTTCAGTAAACGTCGACGGAATTGATCTTACACGATCGACTCCGTCTGCGTAGCTCGGTCGGGGAGAGAAAAGTAGGAGAGACATGAAAAGAAAAAAAAAAAGATGAAAAATGATAAACAAACCTGAAAATGATAACGTGACGTGCGTGTCCTATAGGGGAAGGATGGAGTAAGCATGTCAGTCAGTGTGCCTGGTTACCTACACACAAGCACAAACAATCCAAACAACACTCCCTAAGACAAAACTATAATCGCTAAAATTTCGCTAAAACTCGAAAGCCCTAAGAGTATATCGTAAAATATCATAACACAACTCGAGTGAGGCATGCGTCGTCACATCGGTGTGTACGTGTGTGTATACTTTGCCCGAGAACTGAACAACTGTATAAAATAAATATTTGAGAGTCTCGCAGATCGCTTCCGTAAGCAACAGATAAAAAAACATGATACTCGTAGCGTATAACATAGAAAATTCCCTCGATTATTGATCAAACGGAGCGAAAAGACAGAGAGACGATCTTCGAAAGCCCGGAAAGAGCGCATGCTGGCTCTACGTTATTAAACTATTAAAAGTCATGCGTAGAACTTTGTATCCGGGCTATCGTCAACGTACCCGCTACCATTTTGCTTTTCTCCATCACTTGCTTCGCCAATATCTGATTCAGCTGCAGAATGTGTTCCCGCTGGCGTTTCTCCTCCACTACCTTTCTCTTCAGAGTGTCCGACTTTTCCACGTTGGACTCATCATCTGAAACCGTACGATACGTTAGAATATCGAAATGTCGTGTGAAATTAAGTATCTAAGAATAGAGGATGTTACGCACCACCTCCTTCCGGAGCAGTTACGGTCGTTTCCGAGAGCATCTTTCTAATCGCCTCCGCCTTCTTTAAACGTTGCTCTTGTTCTTCCGCTGTTAATTCTGGCGTCTGGAAAATTAATAGGTGCCATTTATGTATTCGTATACGATGATCTCACATCTATAAAGATACTTGAAGTTTCAAATCTAGGCACAAACCACAAAAATGTGAATAATTTCTATTTTGTTGCATGCGCTTCTTAGTTGAGATTTCAAAGAAGATTGGTTAGTGATGTCGGGAATACCTGTTCAGGGATATATCGCTCGGGAATGACGATTTTGTTGGGCGTGCCTAACAGCTGATCTATGGTGCTCTCATTGTACTTCAGCTCCTTGTGACTCAATGTCGATCGCACCACATCAGGCGCGTTTATCCTCGGTCTCAGCGCTCTCTCCATGTCCAAATCGTCCCTGGCTCTGCCCATACCCTAAAAAAACCTCCAAGTCAATCACGCCTCTTGTGCGCGAGTGCGAATTCTTTTCCCACAGTTGTCAAAGCTGCCACGACGGTGCGAGCTTAGCGCAATACAGCAGTGAGACGGAGAAACGAGATACTCCGTGAATGATAGGTGAGCGGGTACGCGAGACACCGACACGTGAAGAACACGGGCGAGAGGAAGTGATAGAAACGGAAATTAAATGAAACGAAAAGTACCATCTTCGAGAAAGTGTCCTCTAAGTCGAGCACCGGTTTGCTACTAGACACGGTGTAGTGCCGTCTCTTCTCCCGCGGGATCTGCCTTCGTCGCGGTCCTTCCACCCTTTTCTCCGTCATCTCTTTGATAATCTGTTTGGCAGCTTCGCTCTTGAACACCGGCGACAGCTGTGGCGACTCGGACGTCTTCGTGCTAGGCACGGTCGAGGCGGCGGCGGCGACCGTCGACGGTTTCTCGTGTACTCCAACGTTAGTCGGCGACGTTAATTCGGGGCTCATCGTGCCTGCGAGGGTAACGGGCGTCCTGATCGACGTCGCCGCACCGTCGTAGTGCGGCCGGTACGGTCCGGGCGGGTTGTAATAATGGTGAGGCTGCGCGGCGATCGTTTGCGGCAGGTAACTCGGATTCTGGCTCGGGCTGTACGACGACGTGGTGGAGTAGTTGGGCGAGCTCATCGGCACGTGAGAGCTCGACGTACTGTCCGTGTACGGCGACAAAGTGCTATCAGAGCTGCCGTCGTGACTTTCGAACTGCGACGAGCGTCGAAATAAAAAATAGAAAAAAAGAAAATATAAGGCGAGAAGACCAAACGGGATCAGAAACGAAAAACGGATGGGGGCGAGAGATGGCTGGGGCCAGATGCTCGGAGGGTGAAATCGCTGACGACACCCGTGGTTTCGCGACCAGTCACGATTGAGGTAGAAAGTGTAGACGAAAGATTACACGCGAGAGTGAGCTTTAGCTCTATGGGGGAGGGCAAGACTGCCGTGTTGCTGTTTCGGACATCGATTCTCGCGTTACTTACAACTTACCCTGATTTTGTGCCGTCGCGCCATCATGCTTCTCAGAGCGTGCATGCTGTCACTGCGAGGTGGAGGAATTACGGGTCCGTAGTATACTCCGGAGTGTTGCTTCTGACCGCCGAAGCCCCGCGGTAGGGACATGCTTCTTTGGAACTGAACATCGTCCAGCTCGGACAGCTGAACTGTGCTCTGAGCATGAACGATCGGCGACTCCTCCACTACCCTGCCCAATTGAGCTTTCTAGACATCGGGAGACTTACGTTAGCGACTAAATCGATGCTTCTCTCGATATATTCTTGTGAGATCCAGTTTTTTCATGATTTGTCACGATCAAAGACGCGTTTTGAATTGACCATAGTTATGCAAAAATGATCCAACCTACATAGTTATGATTTTTGGATTTCTGTTGCTAATAGATATGTCTTTCCATATAAAACAAACAAGATCCAAGCCTTAAAATTAATTAAAAAGCAGTTTCTACTAGTTGCCTCTTGTTTATCCATTTTTTAAAGCTTGCTAATGAATAAAGAAAAGAAGATTGACCATGCGTGACTTCTCGAACAATTGCGAAGAACATTAATGCTATTTATACTTTTTAAATCATGTATCAAATTTTTATTTTCATTTTTACGAAACGTACTTAATGTGGATCATCCTTGCATAACTACGGCCAGTTATAAGCAGGAATTAATAATTAGTTGTTATTGTAGCGTGTTGATTTACCTCGAATTTTTGGGAGCCTCCTAAGTCATCGTCACATAGTCTCTTCGCACCACCCGGCGCCTGAAGACCGTTTGTCAGGGGAATCCCGATATTGCCGGTTCTGTCGCCGCGATCTCTTTGTCGTCTCTCCGACTCGCGTTTCACTATACGCACCGTCTTAATCTCTTGCTTCTCGCGATTGTGCATTAATCCTTCGGAGAGGGAAGAAGATGGGGAGAGAAAGAGAGAATGAAATTTCCAACTCGCGCCAAAGTTTCACGTATCCACTTTGAAGCAGTAAGACGACTTACCGGCGAATTTGTTGTCCTCGTTTTGTCTGTAATTGTCGTTCAACAATAATGCCTCTTCGCTCAGGGGAGGCGGCGGTGGAGGAATATATTCCGGAGCAGGATTCGGCGCGCCGTTCAACATGCTTCCGTTGTGCTTGCTCGTGTCAGCAATGTAATCGCCTAGAATCAAAAGTGAGAAATCATTACGCAAGTATTTCGCGCGCAGCGAAATTGTCTCGTAACAGCACTAACGCGCCGCGATGCTTCACTAATGTCGCTTCATTCAACGCGTTGTCAATTTCTTGATATTTCTTTACTCGTATATGGCGAATCATTCACGAAATGTCTCGCTCACCTGGCACCCTGGAGTCCGTGTTGACGTAGAGAGGCGCTACTTGAATCGTACTACCCTTGCCTTGCATCTGATCCTTCAGCAGTTGTTGCTTCAATTGATGTTGTTGGATTTGCTCGCGCAGCTGTGGCGACAGTGCCGATATGTGATTCTGCGAAGGCTGTACGTAGGGCGGTTGATTCGGTGGTTGACGATTCAACGGCAACGTGTCCTTGTACTGCGTAGGGGAGCCGTAACGCTGGTGAGGACCGTCGTTGTGCTTGTTAGGAGGTGAGGCGGACAAAGGTGGGCTCGATGACGAGTCCAAGCCATGATCTAAGGTTATTCCGGAATCCAGGTCGGTCTCCAGCCAGGAATTCTGTGTGCGTTTTTTCGGGTGATGCACCTGCGGAGCTGATGAGTAATTCTTCGTCAATCACATCATTCTCTTTCCCTTTCTCATTAAAAAAAAAAAAAACTCTTCAAAATTTGGTGAGAGAAAAGATGGAAATTATTACGATTTGTTATAATATGTCTCTTCGTTAAACATGTTTCTCGAATAACGATCAGGATAACGAGTTACTTTTTCCAATGAATAATGCGAGTAACAAAGTGCTTTCACAAAAAGCAACTTTTCCAACTCTGCATGTTCTCATATTAATAATTTGTGCGAAATGATTCGCTACTTCGTCATAAATACTGAAGGCATGTGGTCTGTTCTTTTCAACTGCACTGCTGCTTTTCAGCTGCACACAAGTATATTTTTTCTCACTCTAACTTGTTGCACCAGTTTAGCAGTGCAGCTGAAAAGAACAGACCAATGGTAAGCTTGTGAAGAATCGGATTTATCGATCACTTTCGGGACTGAAGTTAACAGTTTTGCGACAATTTCCAACTGTCCCAACGTTACGTGGCTCCCGCATGAGGACTCACCGTGCGCGGCTTGCGGACGTATCTGTTGCACCAAACTGTGAGATTTCTCCGTCAATTGGCGAACTTGAATACTCAGCTCCTTCCGCTGCCTCTGCAGATCGCCCACAAGTTGTTGCACTCGCCTCAATTCCGCTTCCAACGGCGCGGTCGTACTCGAGGTGTCCCGCGCTACGTTACCGGCGTATCTTCGGGAAGCCTGCAGTTTCTGCCTAAGCACCACCAAGTCCTGCTCCAACCTCGCGTTCTCGGCCACCGTTTCCTCGAGTTTCTGAAAGCACGTCGAAAAGTCGCGGATCATTAAGGCGAATGCACGATCCGACGGATAAGACCATCGCCGACGATGAAAATGGCAACTAAACGGTGAACGACGGAACTGAAAGCTATAATGTGGTGAATGGTGCAATTTACCTGGAAGAATACCGGTTTTACCTGGAAACAGTGAATCCAGCTTTAATCACTGTATGTGTAATGAGATTTATTCTCGCGAATGTAGCGATTTTCTAAGTTCCTACATGCTCCCCGTACGTCATCCGCGTAATTCACGTTGCAAAGGATCGAAAATAATATAAGGAGAACTAAAAAGAAAGAGATCGATTTAAGAGGAGGGGAGATTCTTCAATCATCCCAGTCGCTTAGTAAGAAATGATCGGCTCTCTAAGTAGAGAAGCTGCCGTTAATTGAAACGTCGTTGAAAAGTAACGACGCACGTTCAACATTTTATCGATATTGCGAAAACCATGGAAAAAAAGAAAAGCCAAAAACGAACGAACGAAGATGACGAGTGGTGATTATTTGCAATTTTTGCGAAATTCTGTGTGACGCGCAATTTACTTGTTTTTCTGTCAATCAGTCTCCATCGTTTTTAATAGAATCGCGCGGTATTGGACAGAAACGCGTATTAGTGGCTGTCAGATACGCTTCGGGATGTCTACCTTCGAGTTGTGAGCGAGCAGCACCCGCACTCTGCTCAATTCGCGCTCCAGCAAGAGCTGCTGCTTCCGATATCGCTCGGCTTCGGCCAAATTGCTTCTGCTGCCTTGCAGTTTGTGCCGCAACCCGCCCAGAGCCTTCTCTAGTATTTCCTGCGAGCATTAAGTCAGTCATGCGTGTGATATCATATAGCGATTTTCTATATCCTCAAATTAGGACGAGCAATGTCGCGTCACGTCACGGCTTACATATCCGAAAGCACGACATTCGTTTCATCCGCGGGCCGAGTAACGAGGTCAGTCCTCCGTGGATTTCGGAACAAAAAACAATTATATTAGGTGCTTGCAAAAGTTGGTATATTAAAGTCATGGCTGATATTAAAGTCATCTTTATACAATAAGATGACATGTTAAATTTTAGTCAACGTATTGACCATTGCTATCAATAATGGCCTTTTGACATCTTTCGAGCAACAGTTTGATCCTGCGTCAACAAAATGACTCATTTTTTGAGGTAAACCATTCATCGATCCATTTTCGTACTTTCTCAGTATTTCGGAGCTGTGTATCAGATAAACCGTGCTGCACGAATAGGTGAAAATCAAATGGAGCTAAGTTTTAACAGTATGCTGATTGTGACGTCGATGGTTGGCCGAGATTAACCCATGATCAATCTCATCTTCAATCGCGTTAAATGTAACATTTTATTTGGAATTATGAATTGTCAGCCATCAATTTAGATTAAGTAAAACTAAAAAGTAACTTAAAGGAAAACAAGTCGCTACTACAGACTTTACGAATTTTTGCAAGCACCTAATAGATAAAAAGGAATTAGATAAGAAGAGATGAGGAGAAATATTATAGATACGAGTTTCGGAATAAAAAATAGATATCATAGATAAGAGAAATGATGCAGGTATCATTTCACGATGTTTTCGCGTAGACGAGATCGCGAACGAGACTTCTCGGGCTGGAATGTCCTGTCGAGTTGCAAGAAAATATTGTCGTCGTTCCAGCAGGACTGTCTTCGCGAATATATTGCGGAGCTTTCTTCCGAGAGAAACTCGGAACTTTTTTCCCGTATATTCATCGATCGAGCGTGACATTCTCGTTACGGCGAGTGATGTCCACCTTCGAGGGAATGCTCGAAGGAATTTTTCGATTTTTTAAGACCGGGATATCGGCGTCGTCATTGTTGTGACGTGGGCATCAGGTGATACTAACCTTGTCTTGTTGGAGACTATGCAGCGTGCCAGATTCCTCCTGGAGCAATCGATCCAGCTTGTAGAGCTGCTGCACTTTGGCCTGCAACATAGAAAGGCTAGCGGGTGAACTACGAAACCTTGAAGTCTCGCCGTTCGGTTAAGCGGGGTGTAGTGTTTCAACCGTAACGGATCTCGGGAAAAGACAGAACGACTGCAGTTAATTCTAGAACAACGTGGACCTCTGTTCTCTCGGTGTTTGTCTTTGCCTCGGCTTCCGACTAAGATCTTCCTACGTCGCGAAACCATTAAAATAAAATAGCCTGATCTTTAATCGTTTGTCATACGTTCGTAGTCCCAGCGGAGGGAAACAGACGGATTCTTAATTGACAGACGTGTTTCTTTTTTCCGAATTACAAATAGCCATCGATGTCAACTGAGCCATCGACACCTGATCGGTTGTACAACCGATTTCAAGGAACATTGGAAAGTTCTCGTTTTTTCGTTATCGAGTCAACACATCAAGACGTTTTACTCGAATATATTTGATTGCACGTGTCGCATGTGTTTTAATAACGAAAGCGTTTGTTGGTGAAATATTAAATTTCGCCCGGCTCGTGCAGATGACGAGAATTTTCGAGGGGCTCGAGTCGGTAATAAGAAGGAAACGAGACATAAGATACTAAGTGGACATTGTCCGTGGAGACTCGACTCAACTCGGCTCGAGAGAGTGTGTATATCCCTCCATGGTAAAGTGAGCTCTCTGTGGAATTTACGAGGGGCCATAAGTGTCGTCCGAGTTCAGCGCCTGCCAGCGGCGGCCGCGCCTGCAAGGGTCGTTCTTAATTTTTGCACGTACGCTTTTTTTTACAATCTGTTTTTTACAACCTACACACCTGGGGGATGATACGCTCACGGTGTCATGGCACGCGGCAGGTCGGGAATTGCTTCCATCGGTCAAAGCGAATTCCGCGTCGTTCGCGTCTAACGTAACATACATCTTGCCCTAAGTACTCTCCAACACGGAGAGCGTGGTCTCACGAGAGAACGCGAGCAAGAACGATGGTGGATGAAAGGGAGAGGAGAACGCGAGGGAAATCAAAATATGATCGTACCGTCAGCACGTCATGAGTACTAAGCGTGTTTTGTGGACGACAGGCCCGGATGGAAACTCACGACGCGCGACACGACGCATCGATCGAATCGCTCACCTGCAACTGCCCGTGATCCGGACTCAGTCGGTCCCAGTCCCTACGCTCCTCCGCCAGCAGCCGTTGTTCCTGCACCCTCTGATTGAACTCCAGACGGTCGCGGTGATCCCTCGCGTTCTCGTGCATCAGGTCGTGCCGAGAACCGGAAACGTTGCTGGTCCCGTTGGCAGTGTTACGGTTGTACAGGGAGCCCAGTTTTACCATGTTGTCCACGAGGTTCACGAGAGGCTTGCTCTTCTCGTACTGCCCGCGGAAAAGCAAACGCCATGGTTAACACACTTTTCCCTTCTCCCTTATCTCCTTTTTACACACATTTCCCGTCTCTCTCTCTCTCTCTCTCTCTCTCTCTCGCCGTCTCACGCGCGATGAATTCACGCGCCTCACCTGCTTCTCGAGATCCATCAGGTGTCTCTTGAGTTCTTCGAGCTTCTGAAGATTCTCCAGCCGTCTCGGCGTGTCGAGCTCCGCCAGTCTAGCCTGCGGGCGCACAAAACACACGAAACGTTTATTGCCGTTACCGCTATTAGGGGGCCTTCGTCCTTTGCGCGTCAATTAACGCACTCGCTGCGGAAAATAATGTGACAAGCGACACGTGGACAGTCCGTGACATTCAGTGCAGGCCGGACAACGACAACGCAACGGATACATATACGCGTGGAGAGGCGATTTTTTCTACGAGTTCGACCGGACTCTTTATCTCTCTTCGAGTCTCGTGGAGATCATTCACGTCCCGTATTCGGCGCTGAATAAAACCGATCCGATCTGTTAATCAGACTGCGAGACGACGCGGAGTGTATCCTTCGAATTGATCAATCGCGTCGGAATCGGCGGAGCAAGTTTATCACTAAATGCGAGACGCTAAACGTATCGCGTGCCGGACGGCTTGTACTATTCGATTGCATTGAACAAGAAGTCATCCGGGTAACCCTGCCTTGTGATTTGCGCGCGAGCGCGTTACATGGTACCGACAACGACGACGAATGACGACAAGAACGACAATGACAACGACAAAGACGACTACGATTACAAGACACTGCGTCACCGTTACGTGGAGTTTCGCAATCTGGATGCATCTACACACAGCGATCTAACACATCCTGAAAGATCTCGTGAAACCGCACGGTCATCTGTCAAAGAGGATCATCATCTCGCCCTCTCTCTCTCTCTCTCTCTCTCTCTCTCTCTCTCTCTCTCTCTCTC